ACGTTTTGATATAAAAATTACACACTTTGTGCAATATCATTTGCAAATGAATGCAATATGAGCGCGTTTCAATGAAAAAAGAAGACTGTCACAAGCTACGGTATCGTTTTTCTATAAATAGCCTAGCCTTTCGTCGGGCACCGATCCAAGAGAACAATAAAACTTTTTTCAGAAAATATTGTCATGCACGCATTAACTACTATTTCCCACCAGCATGAGGGTCTTCTTAATAGTTTTAATAGCCAACCAACTTGGTCTTTGTTTTGATTCAAATGATTCCTTAGCCTAGCTTATAACAGGTAATAAGATGATTGGACATTTCATAATTACAGAGGTAGAGATAGGAGTGATCCTCTGTCAGTTCTTGGAAGAGACATGTAAAAATGGAGCTAAAATAGATAGATTTATGTTTCCCTTATAGGTTACAGAACATCGCTTTTTTCTTCTTTGAGGGTTAATCCATTTTTATGCTAATAAATATATAGGCCTATAACAAGCTCTTTAGTAACCTTCAAAAAATTATGAATGATTGAATTCCCCACCTCCTCTCTTCTCTCTTCAAAAAAAGTTTGTTCGGGGAATTAAGTAGAAAATGGTAAGGAGTTATTTAACTGTGACTTAAAACTAGTAGCTCCACATACAAATCGTAGGGGGTTTGCTAGGCTATACTTTCCATTTACAGAGATAGAAAGAGTAAAATGTTTTAATATTTCTTGAGGTTGCGAACATATTGCTAGACCGCGCACATTATACACTTAATGTCAGATCCCGAGGGAAAAAGTTAGTTTTGTTTCCCGAGATTCCTGATGTTTCCCGAGACGAAGTCGCAGGAAACACCTGGACTCAGGAAAACAAAACTAACTGGTTTCCTGAGGGACCGGACATTAAGTGTTTTGTTATTTTCCTAGACTTTCACTTCAACAGCAACAAAAGAATAACCGGAGCGAATCAAAACAGTCGACTCGGTACTTATAACAACACAAATTTAATTCTCAAAACCACTGAATGAATGATTTACAAAGTACTTTCCTTACACTATCTACATGTTTTTCCTCTACTAGCTGCTGTTTCTCTTCTGGGATAATTTTAAAAATCGTTGCGCTTTTTAGCTTGAGGCTTTGTGTTTGTGTTGTGCTCATTCACGAAAAAAAAAAAACACTGGCAGTGTTTTTCTCGTCTTCTGTCACACCACTTTCCACCATGCTTTGATCACGTGCTGTAATGTATCCCGAGCGGGTTTTGCTCAAATGTATCACGATCGGGATACATTTGATTTTAGTGAAGGTCACGTGACCAGGAATCAACCAATGGCAGTCCCTGTTTAATTGAGTGAAAGTCTAGGAATATAACAATGCCTTTTGTTTAAACTGCACAGCACAGTAAATTTTTCCTTTAAAAAGAGTAACTCAACGTCAAGAAAGACGTCGATGGAGTTACATGGAGTTGCTTTTTGATGACTCAGTTTTTGTCCCGAGGCACATTTAAGAAACTCATGTGGGTTAACGATAAAACATTGATGTGGAGTGTAAGGCAGTGTACATCCTACCGTGTCACTGGAGGAGTCGACAGGAGCCCAGGCGATGTTTCCATGCCGGAAGTGTGACGCTCTAGCCAAGCACAGCCATTGGACAACAACAATGAGAAGAACATCTGATACATGCCGACATTTTATGGTAGATTTCATTTTTAAGCACAGAGTCTGGCGCTTGAGTTGTCGTCCTCCGCAAAGAAAAGCTTGGGAAAAGGTCGCTACGCTAAATTCTGAGAAGCGTCCAAAGGAGTGCCCTTTTACCACTAAGGCTGCCAATTACGTTCCTAGTGTTTATTCAAACCAATCAGGCGTAGAGTTAAACCAATCACAAAAAAGATTATTGTGTGTCGTTTTGACGTGGTACATCTAATTGTTCGTCGAATGTGACGTTTTTCGGGCAAAGCTTATCAGCCAATTATTGCGCTTCTGTGCGGCTCTGTCAACTTTCGCTATTTCAAAAATCATAGGGCAATTCATGAATACGCAAAAAATCTATGGGATTACCTTGTTACAAATCCTGTAAGTATTATCGTTATAAATTTAAAATACATCTCCGATTCTGATTAGTCAAAGATTGGGCGCTGCTCAATTTGGCACTTCAGACTTTCACAGCGCAACAACGGCCGCCGATGAGTTTTTAGGCGCTAGGTGCAGACGAAATAACCGAATTACGGATACTGAAAGGGTTGGAAATGATAGTACACTGGACAAAACTGTTCTGGATTGACAATTTATCATACAAAAATAAAACAAGCCAAGGAACCTTAATGATATTTTTGTCCTTTAAACTTTATTAAATTCCACACATGGAAAAATATTTCCATGACGATCACGCAAGGAGGACCTGCGTTACGGCCTATGCAAACTTGGTAACGAAATCACAAAGGTATGCAAAATCACGTGATTTCTAAGAAAAACGAATCACAAAACCAAGTGTTGTTGTATTGAGAATACAGTAAAAACCCGCAT